ATACATATGGTGCTCTATATAGCCATCCTTGAGCTATAAACATATTTATGCATCCATATGCATTTACTTACAAGGGTACGGATTTGAAGGAGGGGTTGTTCTGTTTTATTTTGCTTTCCTTTAAAACTGCAGGAACACATACATAGGGGTGACAAGGAGTGGAACCTGGGTGAAAACCAGCAAAGCAGCTATCCCAGGGGGCAACTCTCTTGTTTTATTCGCTAGTGTCTATTCACAGGAGGGGAACAAAATACCAGGAGCCAAGCAAAGCAAACAAATCTGACTGCCAGAGAAGAAAAGTGGGGCTGAAGGAGAATTCCCCAGCCAATCCAATGTAGACAGTGAGGGGACATCAAGCATTTAGGAGAGGTGTTTTTTTCAAAAATGGGTGAAGTAAAAAAAAGAAGACCCAATAAAAAATGCTCTTAAGGATCTAATGAGCTCACTTGCAGATTAAAGGCCAAAGGAAATCTCTAGGGCAGGTGTTTTTTCTATAGTATTTTCTTCGACATCTATTAATCCTAGTTGTATAAAAAATATGAACAATCTCCTTTGGAGAGCAGGAGTTGTTGATTTTTAATTTGATGTTATTTTGCTACTTGAAGAAACCCAGGAAAAGAAGAGAAAAGCTATTAAATAATTTAAAATATTAATAGTAGCAGTCATGTATTGTGCCTCACAAATCTTTACTCCTCCGCCTTTCTTCCACATGAAACAATATGATTTGTTTGTTTGTTTGTTTTATATGGCACCCATCTCACCAAGTGATTCTGGGCAGTGAACTTTTTTTTAAAAAAAAATTAAAACAATTATAATACAAAAATTAAAATATTTTATAAATACAGCTCACATGCTGTGCTCAGATAGCTTTCCTCACATGTGGCCACACCATGAACTGCATACTATACATGTGAATACTGAACTGTGAGGCTGAAAGGAGCCTATGTTTGAGCAAGTCAGTTTCTGTATTTGATTGTGAGAATTTATTTAATAGCATTTCAAACTGCTTGAGGGCATGCCTTCTTAGCTATAGGTTCTTGAATAAGCATATGCTTCTCTATTTTAACATTCTTTATAATCTTGTACATTTCAATGTTAATGCCTGAAGATTCTTTATACGAGTTTGTTAATTAATTCTTCATGATCAATGCAGCCACATATGCCACAACCTAACCTGTCCAAAATGGTAGCTAAAATGAAGGGAAATTTAAATGTTTTATGAAAGCCTTGAACATAGTGCCTCTTCTAATGTGTTTGCCCCAAAATAGGACCCAACTGGAAAATAAGCCCTAGCATGAATTTTCAGGATGCTCGTAATATAAACCCTACCCCAAAAATAAGCCCCAGTTAAGATCATCATCCAGACAGACATATTTCGTATTTCCCTGAAAATAAGACCTAATTGGAAAATAAACCCTAATGTGTCTTTTGGAGCAAAATTAATATAAGACCCTGGTCTTATTTTGGGGAAAACATGGGTATGGGACACCTCTATCTGAGAACCAAAAGGCTAAGCCTTTTAAAATAAGAAGGGCCTTTTAAAAATGTTTATTAGCTTTATCTATACTGTGATAAAAGACATAGATATGATAAATTATTTAACAGAAGTCTATCTTAAATAAATACATAAACTTTAGGGAAGGAACCATGATTAGATTGATCATCTGTGGTTAAAAAAAAGAGTGAGCAATAAATTAAACTATTGGAATCTTCAAGGAACCAAGATTCAGGACTAACCTCAACTCTAGAATCACTAGTGGATTTGGGGCAACTGTATCCTAGCTTTGTCCAAATTCCACCTACATGACACACAAACAGAGTGTTAGGAAAGAGAAGAGATTGCAGCAAAATGATTTTTTTTACAATTGTATGCTTTCTTCCTACCAAAGTCTTCTGGGTGGCTCACAGGGGATTATTCATTTTATCCTCCTAGCAACCTTGTTAATGAGTCTGTTATCTAACGTGTTTTCAAATATAGCTACATTCTTGTCCCTGTGATTCAATATGAACTCAACTATAGCATAAGCAGATAAGTAATTTTGGGGCAGAGGAAGTGCCACTAGGGCTCTTATGAACCTGTTGAATTGCATGGAGATGTATATTCTACCTTTTTGTTCCAGCATTCAGTTCAGAAGATGCTCTGTAATACTAGCTTTCTCACTTGAAAGAATGGCTGTTGGTACTGAGTAGTCAAGCCTGCAAGAAGTTTACTACAGAGCGCTGTTGCTAACAATGGTTGAGCAGAGTTATTACTACAATATCAGAGACTCATCCATATCTGTTGTGTAAGACCCAATGCAAATTTTTATTTTGCCAAAGGAATTTTTTTGCAGAGATAATACACCAAGGAGCTTGTTATTACCATTTCTCTATGTCACTGGCTTCACTAAAATCTTATATTCAAGTTATTCTTGTTTTACCAGAGATGATTGGCATATGATCAAAGGTATAAATAGAAATAACAGTATTCACAGGGTTTATTAAGGTAGATCTGTCTAGCTTTAACCTATGATTCCTAGGGATCACTCTTATAGCTGAGATTTCCCTCATTCAAAGTTCCTGTGAGACATGGACTCACTGGGTGGTCTTAGACAAGTTTGTATTTTCAAGTCTTACTTTTGCAAAATGGAGATTGCAGAGTCTGGCTTTATATATAACAGTGGTGGGATTCAAATATGTGAACAACTGGTTCTCTGTGTGGATGCTGCTTCCGGAAGTCCATTCTGGGCCTGGGCAACAAAAAATTAGCTACCGGTTCTGCCGAAGTAGTGTGAACTGGCTGAATCCCACCACTGTATATAACTGTATGGACTGCCTGGAACAGATTCAAACAATGAGCTTTACCAACTTGTCAAACTTGCCCTGGATTGTTCATTGCAGGAAGACAGCTGTGTGTTGATCAACAAGAAAGATTAAATAGAATCCTTTTCTGCACATAGAAAATAGCATATTAGGAAAATTATACCAGAACTCAACTCTCCCTGACATACTGATTTTCTGCAGATAGAATAACATCCCTTAGGGAAGCATTAAACACAGCACCTTTTCATCTCTAGGCTGAGCTGGCGTGATCCAAGAAAAATCTTACCGCTCAATTCTGTTGACTGTACAATTGCCTCTAAATTAAAATATATTAAATGTTTTGGAATCTCAGAAACTTTTATTATTAGGAAAAGACAAAGTGGACCTATAGTCTGATATGGTCCATGAAAATAAAGGTGTTAGGTACTAGAGGTATGTTGCAAATGAAGAATCCAAACTTATATTTATCCCTTGATTTAAATCTTCCTACTGAAGAATAAAACAGGTGTTAAAGGTTATTAGCAAATCAAACTAACACTTTATGCAACAATTATTCCAAAAGGCATAACATTATATCTGCGAAATGCTTATTTCTCTCAACTTTGGTGGGTAGTTCTCCAAGAGAAAGTTTATCGTTAGGTCCAAACCAATTTATCTAAGTAGTATTTTTTTTAATTGCTGCAAGCTCCACCCTCAATGCTGCTTCCCAAGTCAGAGTCAAATTATGCTTCACAGATTATTCCCTGTCCCTGTTCCCACCCATATCTACCCTTTTGGAAATAAATTAATTTCAAAACGAACAAGCCTATATCTCTCTGGGAAAGAACAAAGAAAAAAAATGAGAGAAGGAAATATATACAATTAAAATCCAAATCATAGCACATTAGTCTATACATTCCAGGAAGAATCTGGGATAGATATTAGGGAAGGGATTAAAAACAATAATATTTACTTTTAAAGAAAATATTTAAGCTAGGAGGAAAAGTACATTCACATATTTTCGGTAGAAAGATGTGTGATTTTAAGGAATGTTCGTGGTAGAGGGAAAATTACAATGGGGTGCAATATTAAAAAAATATATATTCTGACAAAGATCCTGAAGGACTACACCCAACTTTTGATTATTTTCCCAAAATACTACTTTCCTTTTTCCACTTGCTAACTCATCTACCTAGAGGCAATTCACATATGTATATATAGAAAGATTAAAGACGTGGTGTACTCTTTAGTTAATTGGATTTTGTCAGAGATCTTATCAGATCACCAAGATGGAAAAAAGATGGGAGGGAAGCTTATTTGGCACAAGCCTTTCTTATATTTTCTTCGGTAAAATTGGTTCATATTTTTCAAACACACACACACACACACACACACACACACACACAAACCCTTTACAAATTTAAGTTTCAAGTATTACCTAAAAAACATGGCTTAACAACAGAAGGAACAAATTAAACAGGTTGTGGAACTAGATATCTAGAACTGTGAAGTGAGAAAGGCACAAAGAAGAGAAAAAAAGTACTAAAATGTATATGTGAAAAACAGACAGTTTTCCTCCATGCAAATGTGGAGGACTATATTTCAATCTGGGGTGATGATAACATAAAGTTTCACAAGAATTAAAAAGAAATACCTGATTCATGCAAAATTATTTTAAATACCATAATATTCTTGCTCTAATATGGATTTCTATTTTTAATGGATTCACTCTGCTTTCTGCGGTTTTTCATAAAATGAAAAAAAAACATCCAATAACCAAAGCAGAATTCAATACTTCTCACAGATTAAAACAAGAGGTTAGGATGTGATACATTTAAGGAGAAAAGTCTATTGGGAAGTCTTCTACCATGGGAAGATGGGGGAAAGGGGGAAAGGAGAAGGAAAGCAAGACCTCAATATGCATACCTTTGTAAAAGCAGTATCCAAGCACTACAAAAGCAATGCATTCTCAATCCTTCATCCTCACCTCCACCCACCCAATTATCCTATAATACAACAGAATAGGTTTTTACTTGCCATAAACCAACCAAGGATTTCAAATTCCATGGATGACAGATTCCCATACTGCAAATGTCCGCACCATTGTATAGCTCTCTATCTTTCTTAATAAGGTCACCTTAAAAGCTGGGAATAACGAAACAGGGCAACGGGGTGTCAACTTAACACGGTCAGGTCCCAGAGGATCACATTATACGTACAGTGGTTGGAACTGTTCCAGTGCTGGTTACGAACAGGGGTGCTGTAGGGATTGGGGTTCACAGCTCCTTTGTCCTGGATCAAGCATGCACGGTTCTGGTTGTAAAAATCCATCATGAAGAAGGAGTTAGGGCTGCTGTTTAAACCAGCTACCTCCACACTTTCGTACATCTTCTCCAAGCAGAACAAGGGGTAAGAGGGGTTGGGATCTAGTGTGGAATGGGAATGAGGCAATCAGAACAGAACTTTGGTGATGAAAGAGCAAAATTCTATAATGATACTGAATTCACAGAGCTGAGGGGAAGTTGACTGGTTGTTTTCTGTTTTCTGCGCTGCTCTTGCTTGCTTGCTTTCACTCCCCCACCCCCTTGATCCCTAGTGGAGAGGTATTTAGGGAATCCAAAAGCAGCTGGGGAATCCACCAAACAGACCAGGTTGGTCACAGAAGTTTTGAAAAAAACATCCAAAGGACAATATTCAACTCCCCAATCTTCTATTCCAAAGGTATCCCTTGAAAATTAGGCTAGCAAGTTAGCCTGAAGTATGCTTCACAATCAAGATAGATTCATAAATCCAAACAAATATTTTTTTAGAAAATAAAATTGGTATTTTTACTTCTACAAAAATAATAGAATCCAAGCCGTTCTGCCTTCCAAAGAGTAAAATTCTTTATAGAAGTAGCTCCCTGGTATTAGATAGCATTTTGGACACATTTCCACCATTCATTTCCATGCTTCCTTCTTTCAAGCTAACAAGAGGAAAGGAGGGAAGGGAGGGGGATTCTTTGCAGAAACTCTTTTCAGAAAAAAATGGGAGAAAAAGTTTCAAACACACATGCATACAAAAAATAAGACTTCCTGCTAGAATTCAAGAGTTGTTTTCTTATCTTTCAGATAACTGCAGGCAATCATGGATTACATTTATATGTTTTAAAATTGCATCTCTATCCCACCGCATAAAGAGGAGGGAAAGGGAGGGAGAAAAATAATGGAATTATACAAATGTCAGGTTCTCAATGCTTGGAAAGATGCCAGAGGCCTGAAATCCTTGAATTGCCTTGGATGCAAAAGGATTTTTCTCCAGCCGCTTGGTTCTTCTCTCCCTGGGAAAAAGGGAAGAGAGTGTGTGTGTGTGTGTGTGTGTGTGTGTGTGTGTGTGTGTGTGTGTGTGTCTGTGAGAGAGGGGGAGGAAGGGAGAGAGCACACGCGCATGTGTTTTGTGTGTGTGTGTGTATGTGTGTGATGTATAGGACTGATAGATTAAAGGCAGCACAAAATCTTTCCTCCACTCGAAAAGTCGGCTCTCAACCGGCTTAACTCTTTCCTTACCTGCTGCGTGCTGTGTCTTGCGCAGCCCCAACCAAATGTGGAAAAGCATAGGCTGGGGAGGAGGGAAGAAGGAAACAGAGAGAAATGAATGAATGAAATAAAGGAAGGGGAGGAGGAATGGAAGGGAGGAGAGAAAAAGGACTGGCGTTAAAAAAAAAAGTGCCTCTCCAGCAGCTGTCTGTAGCTAAAAAACTGCAGACATCGCATCATCGTGTGTATTCTCCATCCCTGGAGTGCTGCAAGGAAAAAAAGCAAGCAGACCCCTCCCCTCTTTTTTGTTGCAAGGAATTGGCCAGGGCGGCCTGTTTTGCCTGCATCACCCCCTCTCCAAATCGGAGGTTTCTGCTGCTCCTTCAGCCACCCCTATTTGCGTAATGTTATGCAGCTGAACTCCGCCTGAACTCTCCTCACAAAAAGCTTCACCTCCAAATGACCCACTCACAGGCCCTCTCCTTCCCAGTGACATCACAGGGGCGCTCCCCACCACCTCCTCCTCGTCCTCCTCCTCCTCGCCTGCCAGGGCAGCCACCAGCATGCGGCAGCCACACCACTGAGCCAAAAGCAGACCTACCACAAACAGATTAAGAGGTGTTCTGTCTGTTCAGGAAGCTGGTAAGCTGTTCATATATTTAAGAAAAAGAAGAATAGCTGAGCAATACACACAAACACACAAGCAGTAAGGACATACAGGGGAGAGAGAGAGAGAGAGAGAGAGAGAGAGAGAGAGAGAGAGAGAGAGAGAGAGAGAGAGAGAGAGAGAGAGGAGAGAACACATCATGTTGTTTAATTGATGGAGCCTTACAAAGAGCGGTTACATATTTTTAAATTTGTTTCTACTGTATTACATATATTTATTCTGCAATTGTATGTACTGTGTTGCCTTTAAAGCAAAGGGTATTAACACACTAAAATCATTTCTTTTTTCTTTAAAGATCTTGAATGGTCAATTGAAATGTTAAATCTCACAATAGATCTGTCTACTGAATAGCTGTAACATGCTTTCAGCAATATTTAGTCATCAAAAGGGATATTCAGTCTTTGTACAATCTCCAAACTGCCAGTTTGCAACCTTCCATTCTAGACACGTAATTATCCAAATAATATCATGAGTTCAAAATGAGCACAGCACTTGCAGTGAATAAAATGGTAGGCTTTGTTACAGACACACATATACAACAAGCATGCACCAGATAGATAAGAACATTAAGAGCTTACTGGAGAACACCAGTGGCTAATCTAGTCCAGAATTCTGTATTCCAAGGTGACCAACCAGATGCATTCAGGAAGTTTGCAATAGCCTTCTTCCACTGTTAACTCCCTAGTAGCTGGTATTAAGAGATACAGATCGTTTTTGACTTACGACCACAATTGACCCTCAAATTTCGGTTACTAAGCCAGACATTTGTTAAGTGAGTTTTGTCCCATTTTATGAACTCTCTTGCTACAATTGTTAAGCAAATCCTTGCAGTCGTTAAGTTAGTCACGTGGTTGTAAAGTGAATCTGGCTTCCCCAATGAGTTTGCTTGTCAGAACGTCGCAAAAGGGGATCACATGACCCCAAGACACTGCAACTGTCATAAATATGAGCCAGTTGCCTAGTGTCTGAATTTTGATCCTGTGACCATGGGGATGCTGCAATGGTCATTAAGGGTGGAAAATGTCACTTTTTCAGTACTATTGTAACTTTGAGCAGTCACTAAACAAATTGTTGTAAATTGAGGATTACCTGTATTGCATTTGATTCTCAAAATAATAAAAAGCCATTAAGACTACTTACCCAATGATAGCCCAAACTTCCACAAATTTGCTCAGTCTTGTTTTATAACCACGTTAATTTTACATCACTGCAGCTGATGGCAACAGACTCTGTAAGTTGCTGGTTTGAATAAAGAAGTACCTGTATGCCTTTTTAAAGTTCATAAATTCCTTTTGTTTAATTCTAACAGATGAACCTCCAAACTCTACCATCATGAGAAATGGAGGAAAAACGTCTCTAAACCCACAATTGCCACACTATGACAATTTTATATTCCTACCACTTTCACTTCAAATTAAAAATCCCAGAAGCTTTAGCCTTTCCTCATACAGGAGTTTCTGTATCTCACCATTACTTCCACTGTTCTTTTCTTTCAATAAGATGTGCTTTTCTCTTAAAGATTTGATTTATAAAAATTACATGAAAGAGGCTGAAATTTTCACAATAGAGAGTATTAGTTAAAAAGAGGAGGAGCAACAGTGATAAAGAAAACCCCCTAAATCTCTTCAGAGCAAGTTTTTAATCACATAAATCAAGGAAGCAGCCTTGCACTGATTCAGACCCACTGAGCCACATTCTGTATACATGAATGGGAAATTATGCTAACTCTTTAAAGCAGGGGTATCAAACTGCTGGCCCGTGGGCCAGACTCGTCATGAGGAAACCGCGCCCACCCCATTGCTGGGAATGGGGGAAAAGTTTGGATACGTCGCGCAACGTCACATGACGTCGCAAGTTTGACATGTCTGCTCTAAAGCAACATTTTGCAGTTTAGTGCTAAACTATATATAAAACACTTGGACTAAGATTAGTTATGATGATGAAATCTGCAAGCCAACACCATTTGCAGTTCAGGACTACAAACAGATATGAGCCCTTTGTAGGACAAGGATAATTGTCACATATTCAACCCCATGTAATAGTTCTCTAGATTTGGGGTTTTTTTAAAAAAAAAGAAAAATATGCTTCTTAAAATTGAAACATTACATTCTAAATAATATCTGATGAAGCCACATGAAGACTACTAAGATGTTTGGGAGTCAGGAATTCCATGCTTCTATCTTGCCCAAGAGGAACAAAACTAGTTATACAAAGTAAAATGCTTAAACTGAACAATTCAAATTTGTTGTCTTGGAATTCAGATAGCATACTGCTCATGGATTTACATTCCAGGTATTACTCAGAGGCGTAGCATGGGGGGTGCAGGGGGGGCCGGCCGCACCGGGCGCAACATCTGGGGGGGCGCGCTCGCACTCGCAGCTCTCTGCCCCTGCCTGGCTCACTCACTCTCTCTGCAGTGCTGGCTGTGCGAATCCGATCCGAGCCGCCGGGTCGCAGCCCACTGTGGGGGGGCGCAAATTACTTGCCTTGCCCCGGGTGCTGACAACCCACGCTACGCCACTGGTATTACTGGCATAAATTCTTCAAGAAAGATCTGTTCTATTTTAATTATTTTTGTAACTTTTACAGTATGGAATAATGATTGAACACAAGAAACTAGAATGGCTTCTCAGAGAGAGAATGGGGCTTGCAGAATTGTGACCACATAATTAAGCTTTTTCAAGACAGAGTAAGTATACATCAGGCACAGTCAACATTTACAAGAATTTGGAGGGATAACAATAGCCCAAATTTGTTGCAAAGACTTTTAATTGGGCTTCTTTGGGCTTAGGAAGATCAATACTGAAAAAGAGTTCATCTTGAATTCTACCACTGCAACAAAGGAACTATCATTGGATCAATGGAGCAGGATACAATTTACCATCTAGTCAAATGTCTGATTTAAACTATGCCCAACAGACTGATGAGGGATAATCAAAATAGACTTGGTACCATTCCCACTAACCACCAATCAATTGATACTTCCCAAAAAACCTCCAACACTAACCGAAGAAGTTCCTTCCCCCATTCAAATTCAACAGAGACCACAATATTGCAAAGCAACCCATATTTGCCCTGCAAGAACCTTGTTGGAACATGAGGCAAAACATCTGTTAAAATGCTATCTCTATTTCAATATTGATTTCCCCAATCAAAAGAGAACTCCCAAAAAAAACCATGTTCAACATTTACACTGACTGCCAAAC